GGGGCTCTTGCTCCCGCTGTTCCTTCCCTCTGGATGCTGCTTCCTGTCCTCTGCCAGGTGAAGTCGCACGTGTCTTCAGAGGCCTGGCTCAAATGCCATCTCTCTAAAGCCTCCCACTGTGCCCTGCACCTTGAAGGGTTAACTCCTCCTCCTGATCATCCAATAACCTCCTCACAGCACTTACCACATCCTATTACCTAAGTGCCTCTCCTCCCCTGTCTTCTTCCTCTGTTTATTCTACAAATGCCTGTAGGAGAAACACATTTTGGCAAGTGTTGCTGAGAAAACGATTTGGGTTGGGACTAAGAGAGTTCCCTGCCCCTCCCTGGACGAGTCCAACTTTTATCAATTTAAAACATTCAACTGAATCAATGACCTCGGCTTCTGAATGTCACCAAGGTGTGCTGTCCCACTGCAGAGTTCTTGGGGGTGACTCCTGCTGAGCATGGCCCCAGCCGGCAGACAAAGGCCTCCCCAAACATCAGGTTCAATAAGCCAAACACCATCTGCAAGTGTTTGCTGGGCAACGCTGCGCGCGCCATACCATCCCGGAGCCTTGCCGCTGGCTCTCAGAGCTTTGCAACGATGCTGAGCACAGGTGTCAGCTTAGATGCAGGGAAGAGGGCCTCGGGAGAGCACTGTTTTCTACCCAGAAAAGATAAAGTGATCAGCTCTCACCTTCCTACGATCCTTCCAGGTCAGATAGACCCAGCCTTAGGGGCTGTGTGATCCTAGCAAATAACTCAGCCCTTCTGAGCCTCAGTTTACTTCTCTGAAAAATGGGGTTATCGGATACCTTCCTTTTCGGGTTGTTGTGAAAGTTCAATGAGATATGTGTGGAGAACACCTAGAATCATCACTGATATGTACTCTACATTCAACGAATAGTCCCTTCCCCCCCTCTTTTTTCTTTCGTCCCTGCGTCTCTCCTCTCTCTCTCTCTCCATCCTTCCTCCTAGGGCCTACCTTATGGAGAAGTACATTTGCTTTAACACATTGAAGAATGGACCAATAAGGGTCCAACTTTATTATTTCATACTAAAATATTGACTGGTCCTCTGAGACCCCTAGGAACGCCCGCAGGCCAGTGGACCTCGTGCCAGTCTCCGGGCTCAGTGCTCATGAACTTGCTCAGCCCCGGGGCCATGTGCCTGTCTTCTCGGAACATGGTAATCACAGAGCCAGTACAAAGGCTAAAGAAAGAACCAGGCAGGGCAGGGCTGAACCACATGAGTGATGCTGTGAAGATTTCAGAGAACCCACGAGAGGACCAGGAGGTGGGCGAGGCAGAAGGACAAGCTGTCTCGCCCTCGCTGGCATTTAGGGGCAATTATGCCCTATTAATGGCTGACATCGGAGCTCTGCCCCGAGAGGCTGCGCTGGGCCAGGGTGGCCCACAGATGTGCTCGGCCCACAAATATGCAGTTGGAAACTCCTGAACTTTCAGTGACTTGACGCCAGCTGATCGGATCGGCAATTACGTTTTATTTTGGGGCCAGGGAGGCAGCAGAGAACCAGGAAAATTATAAGACATCAGAGTGCAGTTTTTCTAAGAATATCAACTAAACTTTTTCAACCGATTGTTGTTTTAATGGTTAGAGGTTTGCAAGGCACTAAAATAAGAAACCTTGGACACTAAAATCAGATTACAGCCAATTTTGCCAAAGGAGGTTTTGAGCCTTTATCCAACGAAAATCTGGGTGCGATATTTTTTATTTTGAGGGGAGAAGGAGTGATTCCTGCCAAGAAAACGTTGCTGGTGACAGTGAGTACGGCAGAGAGAGAAACACATCTGTAGTTTGTTCTGGGTTTGAGTCTTTACTCTGCTTCCTGCTAGCTGTGTGACCTTGGGCAAGTAGGAAGACCTTCTGAGCCTCGATTCTCCCATGCGTAAAACGAGGGGTAATACCTAGTTTGGGGCTTATTATAAGCATCTGATGAGATGTTGATAAGCATCTGGTCTAGGCATCAGTACACAGTAACAAGATGGTGCCTTCTCGGCGTAATGTTGGTTTCTTATCATCTGAAATACATGGCTCCTGTTTTCATCACCATATATCAAACGCAAATAACCAGTCAGCATCAAAGGGGGCATGGATCTCCAGGAGCAGTTTGGTGTCTAGCAATTACAGGGGTTGTCATCTGCCTCTGTGATAACATCAATCCAGGCTTAGCGGCTTCCACAGCTTGGCTGGAGGGAAAACATGAGGACCCGCAACCAAGCCCAATGCGGTGCGAAGTAGCAAGTGTCTTGTGGACACAGACTTAATGCAACTCGGCAGGAATGCTTACCCCCTTGTCTCCCCTTAATGCCCCAACCACGGCAGCCCAGAGGATCACCAAGGCAGTTTCTCCAAGAAGCGCCATTGACTCAACTTGCGTGGGAATGGAACATAATTGCAGCTTGTAAAGGAAACCAGCCTAAGAAAAAACATCCTGGGACAACATCCCGAGGAAACAGGGAGATCTTCCTGCAGGGACATTTTCCTGGTTGCCAGCGAAAGGGGCCAGACAGCTCGCCCATGACATTCTCGCTGGAGGGCGGTGACTCACCCACCTACGGGATCACAAATGGCTCCCAGAGCTGCCTCTCCAGCCCATCTTCCCTCCCAGGTCCCAGGCTACTGCTGCTAAATGAGCATCTCACCCAGACCACACTCATGACACCACCGAGGTACAAGATGACCTCTACCCTGGAAGGCCCTCTCTCCTTTGAATGGGTTGACTCTCCAGTCAACTTACTCATGTCAACCTGGCATAACAAGAGGAACCAGACATGGGAGGCTAACCACACACACACCGCTCCCCCCTTGTGCCCAGCACCTGGCACTGAGCTGCACACAGGGACACTCCTCATGGCAGACAAAGGAGTGAGTGGGGCATGAATCTGGGAATGAACACACTCCGTAAGAAGCACCAAGGAAGGCCCGTCTTCTCATGCAACCTTGCAAGGTAGGCATCTTCAGCACCATGTTATATTTTATTCTTTTTTTAAATTTATTTATCCTCACCAGAGGACATTTTTTCCATTTTTTGTTCAGATAGAGTGGGAGGGAGAGAGAGAGGGAAAGAGAAACGTCGACGTGAAAGGGACACATGGAGTGGCTGCCTCCTGCACGACCCAACCAGGGCCGGGGACAAACTGCAACCGAGGTACGCGCCCTTCGCGGGAACCGAACCCGGGTCTCTCTGGACCACAGGCCGACGCTCTAACCACTGAGCAAAACCGTCAGGGCCAGCACCACGTTATAAAGGAAGGAGAGCAGCCTCAGAGGGGTTGTCTTGCCCACATTCACACAGCTAAAAACTGAGGAAACTATTCTTTGAACCTGGTCTGACTCTAAAGTCAAGATTCCAACAGGGAATCCATTCTCATGCCCACGATACCGACGGATCCTGTGCACACAGCCCCCGACACGGCAGTGATCCATCCTCCCAACAGTCCGGAGAGATGGGAAGGCGGACCCTCGCCGAGGACCGACTCATCGTGCACACTAGGTTGCACCACCAGTTGGAAGTGAGGTAGGAATTTGAACCGGACTCTCATTTTTCAATCACAGATATTTGGAGGTGCCGACTATATAAGCCAGGCCCTGCGTTGGGGCTGGGGACACAACCATGAACAGCACAGACTCAGCCCCTGGACTTCTCTCCAGAGGGGCGTCTACTTCAGAAACGGGCTCTTCCCAAGACACCACATGTTGCCCATAAAATTTCCTCAGGCAAGCAGTAGTGCCTTGGCAGCTCGTGTTGGAGGGGAAGTGATCTGAGAACAGGATGGCACTCTAGAGACGGGAACGGTTTGCATCTCGGCAGCACATGCCGTTTTCAACATGGTCGACCAGAAATCCTATCCTTTGTTGAAGCCGGTTCGGCCTCTTTCTCCGGACAATGTGAGAATGGACTGGGAGACTCGCCTGTTATAATCAAGTCATTTGGCACCGGGCGAAACCCAAATAGCGCGTTCCCTGCTGAGTGGACAGAGAGCCCAGAAAGGAAGCCCTGGTGTCTGCAGGCACCTGGCAGATCCGGCCCAGCCAACCAGGCTCGGGGGTGGGGGGAGGGGCAGGCAGGGTAGTGCATTAACCTGGATAGGCCACCCGATGACCAGACTCAGGAGGCCATTTCTCCAGAAGGACGCGCAGGTGAGAGACAGGGGAGAGGTGTGGGGTCGGAGTTCTCAGGCTCAGGACCTCTGGAGACCCAGCGCCTTCGAGGACCAAGCAATACTGTCCTCCGCCGAGGCACTTGGTCCACAGACACACTGAGTTAAGAATTTCGTACAAAATAAAGCTCAGAGACTATGGCCAAAGCAGTAAATCTCTTTCCCTTTCTTAGCAGGGATCAAAGGTCAGCGGCTGGGCCGCTAATTGTTCTCTCACCAGCTCTCGGAGTCAAGTGCTAATTACTGTCCCCACAGAAGAACCAGCCCTGGTGTCTCCATGTCAGGCCTCACAGGGCTCACGGCCACCAGGTCTCCACGGGGGCACGTCTCCTCCGTGGAGCTTATTCTGCTCAGAGAGACTCTTTTCGTAATCAAGTCCAACTTATACCATGACAGTCACCTAGCAAAATGTCACCACATGCAAGGGCACCTTGTCAAAATGGCGCAGTGAGGTGGAACTCTGGGGGCATCACTGGGCTTTGATAATCGAGTTCGCCCCCAGGTGAGCATCCTCCGGGGGCGTCAAAGGGGAGACTGCACAGCTCGCCAGCTCTGGCTGTCAGAGGCCCGCTGCGGGCACCCTGGGGCCCTCAGAGCCTGGGCAGGCCTGAAGGCTCGCCCCAGGCTGCCGCCAGGTGTTTCTCTCATCCTGACCGCTGGCCAGAATTTCAGAGCCGTCATAGGGAGAGACGGTGACCCAGAAAGCATCCACTGAAGGTGCAGTGCAAGAAAGTTTCAATCCCATAAAGAACGGAGTTTTGGAGTTCTTCATCACCACACCCCGAACCCCCCTCAAACCGATGTGCGGACACAACAGGGAAGTTTCCAGGCTTACCTGTGTCGGGTTGTACAGCTCCTGCAGGGGGCTTCGAGACCCCTTCCGGCAACAGATGTCCACGCCGAAGGGGTTCCTCCGCATGACTGAGGAGAGAGAGGGAAGAGCGTCAGAACGGAGCGACAGCCGCTTGTCTGAGCGAGAAGGGGCACAGGGGAGGGGAGAAGAAACAGAGGGAAGGAAGACAGAACCGATTTCCAGCAAGGCTGCACCTTTACCTAATGGCGCGGGGGCCATTCCGCACTCCCCAACATTTAGGCATCTATCTCCACACCCAGAAGGGCAGAAATAATGCTAAAGTTCTTCCCAGCAAATATTAAGAAAACAAGACAAACCTCGAAACCACTGACATGAAGCTACTTACAAAAGACACTGAGTGGTACCAACACCAGACTTGGTGACATTTCTAAAATTCCACAGCCTTCTCCCTCAACAGTCAGTTACGACCTCTTGTTCCTGATCCCTAAGGCAGCTGATCCCCAGAACAGTGTGGCGCCCCCCAACTCCCTCTATGGGCTCTTCCCACCGGATAAGTCAGGGTCCCAGGCTCCTCAAAGCCTATTATAAACTAGGTTCTTTTTTTTTTTCTTAATCCTCACCCAGAAGATGTTTTCCATTGATTTTTAGATAAAATGAAAGGGAGGAAGAAAGAGAAAGAGAAACATCGATGTGAAAGAGACACATAGATTGGTTGCCTCCCAAACGAGCCCCAACTGGGGCTGAGGATTGAACCTCAAACCCAGGTACCTGCCCTTGGCCGGGACTCAAACCCAAGACCCTTTGGTACGAGTGCTGACGCTCTAACTGCTGAGCCAACCCAGCCAGGGCTAAAATAGTTTCTTTTCGATGAAGATATCAGCGGGATGCAGAAAGGAAGAGGCTTTATGGTTCTGAATCTAGACCGACAGAGGCAGCCCTTGAATGAACAAGAGAGGGGAACTAAGTGAGCTCAGGAACCCAGCAGGGCGGAGGGCACTGAGAACGGTTCCTAAATGGAAAAGGATCCTTTCTTTTTTCATTCTTATTCTCAAACACCCTCACTCCAAGCAGCCCCTCACAGTGTCTAACACACAGTCCCCCACTAGATAATGGTTTGTTGATGGGAGGGAGGCATGAATGAATGAACGAACAAGAGCTCTCTTCTCATTAGGAGGCAATTTTCTTGTGCAGCGACAGTTTCACCCCCTGCAGAGTGGACAGCAGGACATTCTCTGAACAGACAGCCTGCGCTTGGATCCCGGCTCTATCATTTGCCAGCTGTGTGACCTTAGGCAAGATACCTAACCTTTCTGTGCCTCTGTTTCTTCATCTATAAACCAGGAATGAGAAAACTGAAACCGGAAAAGGTGGCGTGCGTGCTACCCGGCATTACAGAACCAAGAAGTAGAAACAAGGATCGAATCTTCATGGGCACTAGCTTAATGCAGCTGGCTGGTGATCTGAGCAGACAGTGGGGTATGTACCCTAAAAGACTGTCTTACCTCATCTCAAGCCAAACCTTTTTATAAGGAGAAGAAAAGTATAAGGGCTTGGAATTCAGGGGAAAAGGTGAATCAGATAAAAGCAGCAGTGGGGTGATTTTCTGAGCATTCCTTCCTCTGCTGACTGTGACCCTTTATCTGCATCCTGGGTGGGGGACGTCCTCTCCCTGGAGCTCAATGGCTCAGACGCTGTCTTGGCTGCTTGAGTCCTCCTGGGGCACAGAGGTCGAATTGCTTTCCGGTCTCCTGAAGCCAGGGCAGGTCTAGTCATACATTCCAGTCTCTGGAACAATGGCTTTCTACCTGCACTAATTACCAAGCCTATTATTCACCATGAATCTCAAGCGATAACAGTTTTAACTTCTTGAGTTCCCCACCCAAAGGACAAGGCTCTCTGGGATAGTTGTGGGAATTAAATGAGTTACTACTATATGCAGAGTGCTTAAACGGGGTGGCAGCAAAAACAGTGTTAGAAATTTCGGAAGCGACTGGAGATTATAAACTAATTCTGCATGTAATTTATGACCAAAATCACTCCCCCCACCCTTGGGAGGGAAGATGGGAACTTCTCTATTCTTGAGCCATCAAGTGAGCTGATGAGAAGTTACCAGACCACAAGTCGGGCTCGGATCCTCTGCCAGGTATGCCACGCAGACCAGCTGAGGTCTGAAAGGTGACGCAAGTCACCTCCGCAAGCAGCCGATTACTTCTGGAAGGTTTCCAGGTAAACCCACTCCTTCTCATGCAGTTCTCCTTAGACGTGTCCCTCTGAGCCACATGGAAACCCTGACAGCAAGTCATCAATCCCAGGACACTCGAAGCTGCGTCTTCACTCTCCCCCTTGACTTCCTGGAGCCGGGCCAGCCAACTTCTCTACGGAGGGCCGGACTGGGTTTCAGCTTTGCATGCGGTCTCTGCCGTCACTTCTCAACTCGGCCGCACAGACGATACAGAAATGAATGGGCGTGGCGGGTGCCAACACGTCAGTGATGGACACCGAACTCAGAAGTCCATCGAATTTTCATGTGTCAGGACTTTTTTTTTTTAACCATTTCACAAAAACGAGCAATGGGAGCATGTGGCCCCCAGGCTGCAGTTGGCTGGCCCCTGCCCTAGAGAACGGCCCCTAGTATTCCTGGGGACAGCAGCGTGAGCCCCAACATACGGCCCATGGCCTGCAGCCCTCTCTGGGCAGGACGCAACCTTCAGGCGACTGTCCACCATAAAAGCCATTCGAATCTGATTAGACCGATCAGGGAAACACTGGTCCTTTGTTCTTCCACGGTTGCCTCGGGAAGAGGGGAAAAATCCACGTTGTGTTTTTCTTTAATTTATTACTTCATTTTTCATTTCCACCAAAAACGAGGTAAACTGTTAAATGCACGCGAGTTGCCCTTGGTGCGCAAGGACAGAGCAACACTTTGGGGGAGGAAAAACAGCCACAAAGCTTGTAAAATTATGCCCACGCCATGCAAGATTAAACTCCCCCCATGGCGGCAGACAGGCTCCCCGAGACCTGTGGCTGCGGGACCGCCACGGAGAGAACCCCACCGTGCAATCCATTAAAAGTCAGCTTTTATGGGGGGCAGTATTATTTAATTGGTTTATTTTTCAAATACAAGGCCTTTAAAATGCTTTGACCATGTGGGGCCTGCAACACGGGTCCTTTCCCAAGGCTGTCGGCCCTCAGCGGCTCCTGCAGCCCTGCCCGTGACTTCTCTGGGCGCCGTGTGAACCAGTGTGGGCACTCCCGGCCACAAAGGCCAAAGGGGCCTGTGTGCTTTTTATGGGAATGATAACAATCCCACCATTTATGGAGTGTTCACTGTGTGCAGGCACTTGGTGAAGCGTGACCCTTCACACAGTGACGGAAGTACCTGCATTTCATAGATCACCTCGCTGAGCCCCCCTACCTTCAGGAACTTGACCAAGGTCAAGGCCACATGGGTGGAAAGTTGCCAAGCTGAGTCTCAAGCCTGACTCTTCATAGCCAACGGCAGCAATGATAAGCTACTGCGGGCCTGGGAGACAAAGACGAGCTGTCGATGACGCAGTTAAGTCTGAGTGTACTGACCCTGTGTGTGTCTTAGGAAAAGTGGCGTCAGAGGAGGTTGAGCAACCAATACACACAGACGGTGGCACTGACGCTTAGAGAGCGCTCAGGGTGCACCAAGAAGTTCACGCATTTAATCGGCACAACAGTCCTGTGGGGTGGGTACCGCTACTGTCCCCACTTCACAGATGGGAATACTGAGGCACTTGGGTAGCGTGCCTCGGTCTTGAGGCTAGTAAGAGGTGAAGGCAGGATCCTAACACAGGCAGCCCTTGCTCCCAGATGCCACGTTGGGCAAACATCCAGTGCCCGATCCACCACACAGCTCAGTAGTTTCCTCCTGGCACAAGACCTGGTTGGCTGGCCACTTCTAAGACAAGTGGCTTACATGTAATCCAGTGTTATAGGATTCATCAAAATGATGCGATATGATGGCCAAACTATTAGCTAACAGTTATCACACTCATTCACTTACTTCTTCGACAAATTCTTATCGAGCACCTACTGTATGCTAGGCGCTAGGTATGGGGGGTACAGATCCTTTCCATCTTATTCATGTTTCTCTGGTGCTTGGCACACAGTAGGTACCCAAGGAGGTTTACGAATAATCAGGATTTAAAGCTTCCTTTACACACATCGGGTGGCTTGTTTTCTGCTCTATGGAGGAAACTTCCGGTAGCATCAGGCTGCTGTTATTTTTTCCTTTGAAAAGAAAGGTCTGATGCCCTGGCCGGTCTGGCTTAGCGGTTAAGAGCATTGGCCTGCGGTCCAGAGAGACCCGGGTTCGGTTCCCGCTAAGGGCATGTACCTCGGTTGCACTTTGTCCCCGGCCCTGGTTGGGTTGTGTGGGTGGCAGCCACTCGATGTGTCCCTTTTACGTGGATGTTTCTCTCTCTCTCCCTCCCACTCTATAAAACATGGAAAAATGTCCTCGGGTAAGAATAAAAAATAAATAAAAATTTAATTTAATATTAAAAATTTTCTTTAAAAAAAGGTCTGAGGATTGAAAGCCCTAAGAAAGGAATCCCTGAGGACACTTAGCAATGGCCTTCTGCTGTCCACCCACCACCACGAGTTTTATTTAGCAACAACACTTGTTTTCTCCTTTCGAAACTCAAGTCAATGAAATCCAAGACCGTTCTGGAAGACTCTAATTGGCTCAATGTGCGGTGCGATTTCTTGGAACCAGGAACAGCTCTGCCTGTTCCAAACACGTAGATGAAGCTGAAATTAAAATAAGGCCCTCGTGTGTGTTTCACTGTGGGGACGAGCACGTAGATTTTAAGTGGGTGCTGCACTCCCAGGGAGCCGAGAGCGGTTGAGGGAACGTCAGCCCGAGACTCGGGGTGCAGCCCACTCATTCCCTGTGACCCCGCCAGGACTGCCAGGGCAGAAGGGAGCTTGCTGCCCGGTCGCTAATTTAGGTCTAAACACATAAATCTGAAATGCTGGGACCCTGCTGGGAACTTGCCTTTGTTGCATTTCATAAAACCAAAGAAAGAATTTCAAAGAATTTGGAATTCCGAGGGCAGGAACTCGGGCCTTATAAAAT